CTGGCTGGCTGGCTTTGCAGTCTGCTCCAGGGGAACGAGGATCACCTTGGCTAAGCGTACGCGCTTATATATATATATATCATATATGTATGTGTTCTTGGCGGTGCGAAGTAGCTGTCGCATGAGCTCCACAGTGCATATTCGGTTGCCAGCGAACACATATCCGAATACGGGTTGTGGGCTGGGCATGGCAGGGCTCCCTCTTGTTGCTATCCAGCTTGAGTGTTTTGCGTGGGTGCCATGCCAGAGCCCATAATTTCTTCTTTCGGGAATAAAACCGCCACAATGCAGACCCGGACAAAGCCTTGGTTGCTGATTGAGGACTGTTAGTTTATGGTTTATTGTTCCTTTTGAGTGCCATGGATCTGCATCCCAAGCTTTGGGTTGTTACTGCTTAAGAGAGGCGTCTGCTTCCCTCAGGTTCCTTCCGGGGGAGAGGGTAGGCGCCGCACGCGCAGCGAGAGTGCTGACCTGCGCCCGCCTTCACAAACAACCCCTCCCCGGCCTTCGTCAGTAGGTCTTCTGCACATTGAAACACATAGAGATGCGACCATCAGTTTGCACTTCACTGAGACCTTCCTTGAGCGTTTGAGGGTTCTGGGCGTGATGCGATGTGGGCTTTTGGAACAGACCGGCGGGGCTGACCGCGTGCTTTCTACTCTGAAGGGTTTGTCTGGGGTAAGTAACGAATACACCACAACGGACGATTTTCACATGCCATTCTCAGCTGCTTTGCTTCCTTCCAGTCTGAGCTGCACTAGGGAGCGTCGTACGCTGTGTCTGAATATGTGGGCCACGCATAGAAGAGCTTCCGTTGCGCTGATTGTTTCGTTAACATAGGGGCGGTCGAAGAGTAGGGGCGGGAGGGATTCTGGGGGAAAGTCACCAAAGCATAGGTCTACTTCAAGGGAAAGGAAGAGAAAAGATACAGTAGGACTTGCTGTAGTTCCTGCATGCTGCCCTATCACCTCGCGTTTCCCGACGAACAACTTTCCTACAAAACCTGAATTTTGAACTGTGAAATCACAGAGAGCAAACCACCTGATACCATGAGCTGATGAAGAACGCAGCGTCAGTCAACGTCGACATATGTAGACAGGCTTGTTTGCGTAGCTTTCTCTTGGGGATGTGTCGTCGCTTCGCTGTTTTCACAGGGAGGACAGTGAAGCTGAGCAACGACCAGCGGTGACAGTTCGAAGACAACGGAGGGAAACAGAGCAGGCTGAGAGATGCAGATCTCGTTTGATATCTGGAACAATTGGCAGTTTCAGTGGAACTTGGAACGGGGAAAGGGGACGTTTTGTAGTGCGCACTAACGTGGTGACTGCCGTTCTGGGTGAAGCATTTGGAAGAGCAAAACGACCAGCACTCCACTGCACTACAGTTGCATTTCACTGGGCGGCATGAGGCGTTTGCTCTATTACTTCACTCACTACTTTGGTCCCCGGAAGAGCAATGCAGTGGACAGCATAGCAGGGAGTTTGCATATGTGGACTGAGTTCCACCGGTCTGATACGCAATGAGGTGCAAATGTGTTCAGTTTAACCACCTGCTTTGGAGCAGTGATGCAGCAAGTTGCTCTTGTGGAAAGTTCCTCACAGCGAGTTTTGCGGGGTTTGGTATCTACTTGAGGAGATGCGGTGTACAAACACACCAAATATGTGTAAGCTGCAAAGCTGCGTTTGTTGTTGAGTGACAAGCGTCGTGCCGAGAGCAGGCTGAGGCCTCGGTGTTATGTGGTAAATGTACTACATTGCTTTTTGAATCATGCCCAGGGGAGCGTTGGGAACAGGGCGCTGATGTATTCTATCTATTGTTCGCCATTCTGACTTGTTTTGCGTGTATCGTCGGCTTCACCTCCAACTTGCGCGCCCAAGGTTGTGTTGCTGGTCGTAAGCATTCTGCGCCTCTGCAGTATTTTTCTTATCCGTCGGTTGCCTCGCTGGGGGATATGATAGAAGGAGCGTCTTGACCCTGACTGCAGCGGAGTTGCTCTTCAAAAATCATGTGTCGCTTTTACGGGGGCTTGCAGGTTATCCTTTTGGAACTTGTTTTTTTTTTCAAAACTGTTAGACGTGTTTTAACTGTAGGTGTGTATCTGCACGCTAGCCAACGGAGACGTGCTCATACAGCTTACCTCAGGCAAGGCAGCTTCTCCAGCCAGCATGACTTATTCATGGCTGCTGGTGCACAATTGCCTACGCGGGCCATGCCTGAATCTTTCACCGGGCTCTCCCAAGTAACCAACATTACTTCAACGTACCGCATTTGCATGGAGCAACCAGCTCGCAGCATACACCCTCTCCTAGGCGTGCGTGGAGCTGTTGCAGTTATGAAGGGCAGCCTACAGAAGGGTTGCCATTGAGTAGTTACGCGCAGAGCACGCAACTACTCAATAGCAACCCTTCAGGCTCTAATGGAAACAACGGCACCAACACACGCATTGGTACGTGAAGGAAATTGCATCTCAACCGTTGTTAAAACTACAATAGTACAAACGAGCAGCTTCAGGCATTGATAATCAGATGACTATGCGAAACAAAATGAGCAGACATACGACACAATAGATGTGCTAGTGGGGTCAAAGCGTGACCCCATATACATGAGGGGCTTGGTGGACTCCCAAAGCGGGGCTTGCGTAAATTTCTTTATACACCTATTTATCCGTCGAGATTACACTCCGTGATAGGGAGGTATGAGGCAGTGCCGGTAGTCAACTGCCTATTACCATTCATGATTGCCCTAAGGCGCCAGCACCTAAATCGGTAGTGTTTTTTGGCTGGGCAACACACAGAAGTTTCGCATTGGCATGTGTAGGTAACGCGTTAATGAGAGGAGCTAGTTTCAACCCCCTCAGTTGGAGGCCATTAGTTCGTTCTTGCCCGCAATTCTTGTGCTCGCCCGTAGCTGTATAATTCTGGGCTCTTCATTACATGAGGGGTTTTCCTGTATGTCGCCGTCCATTCACTTCTGTGCTTCACGCCAAGTGCTTGTGCCCTGCTGTTGGTGGATACCTGCACACAGTGCTGGGTTGCCTTTGACTGCAACTTGTTCTATGTTTGCACGCAAGTAGTGAGCGTGCGACGTCATTCTCTCCCCCTCGCGACGGGGCAGTGGGCAAGCGGGCCGGGAGATCGTGGGCCACGTGGAGAGGCGAATAGAAAAGGACCGCAGGATTCTGTGAGCACGCTACCTCTAAGCTAGAAGGAGAGCAGGACAGCCAGTTGGCTTGTGGGCAGCACGTGGCCGTCCTAGGGGCTCCTCGCCAGTGCGTTTTCCCTCTTGTAGAGCACTCTTCCCTGTCTGCACTTAGTCACATCCCGTAGTAATGGGCTAGCTCTGGGGAAACCTTCGTCATCAGCCGAAACAGCTGCGCTGCTGAATCGGTTTCCCCCTTTTCTGCAAGCAACTGCGCCTCCTGCCACAAAGCAAACGCCTTCTTGTCTGCGGGGCTTGTGAAGAGGGGTTCCTGAGAAAATAGGCATGCCATCGAACACGCACAAGCCCGAAAACCAACAACTACAACCATACAACGCAACAACTATCTATACAGAGGCAACCGTATCAGCACAACACCCGTACGGGAAAACAAAGAAAGAAACCAACCACCTCACAGGGGACAACCAAACAGGAAAGCGAACAAGCAAACAAAAGCAGCACTACTTTTTGAGTCTCGGCCCAGGAAGAGCCACATCTTCCTGATGCACGGCTGCAAGACTAGTGCTCAGGCTTCACCTTGCGCGTGTACATGATGTCTGTCCTTATTATGTACTTGACACTCCCCTGTCCCACTGGCCGCCCCTCATGCATCTACATCGCAAACAAATGTCAAGCCAAACACTGTTGTCTCGAAAGCAACAACAACGGCAGCAGCAACAGCACGAGAAGCAGCAAAACCGGCAGCAAGACATTCCACTGTTCTTGCCTGGGTGTGATAAAATAGAAGCGCCTTCCCTACTTCCGCCTTGCAGTTGTACACCACACACTGCGGGTCGGCGACAAACCTGTGAAGTCGCACAAGACAAACACGTCTTGCGTTTTGGTTTAACTGTGTTGTGCTCACCCTGAAAATACAGTCGTCCGTCCTTTGCTGTTGTTTTTGATCTCTCCGCATCTGCAGTTTTTGCTGCATTATATCCCTCTTTTGCCGTCTGCGGGGTCATACACATCCCTTACCTCCCCGCTGAGTCCGTCTTGAAAGGTAGGTCCTTCTGCAAGTCGCTGAGGATGGTCGTTTCCCCTCCGCCTGAAGCGACCCACAGCAGGAGCAAGAAAATAACTGCACTTGGGCGTATGCATATATCTATGCCTTTGTCTGTGTGCCGCCCCAAAACACTCTTTTCGAGGTTACTACCTTGCTGGAATCGAATAGTTCACAAAGAAGAGAGTAAAGATACAAACACAATATGCAGGCACATTTATATATCTGCAGATCTATGCCCCCAGAAGTAGGCATACTTGGACGCAAATGCAGATATATATATATATATATATATGTATATACATATATATATATATATATATTTATGCATGTGTATGTATATGTAGCTGCGCGTAAATGTATTAGTAGTACATATACATATACCACTGATAAGTGCGTTTACGTGCAGCTACAACAGCACGAAAAAATGTTTTTAGCGTGCGTTCATGAACGGGTTTCCAAAGGCGTATGTTCTCGGCGTGTTTGCACTTACTGCT